CCCCGGCGTGACCAGATGCGGGGGGGGGGGAGCCACTGACAGGAGAGCGAGGCAGACGAACTGCGCATGTGTGCGCGTGCGCAGTTCGGCCGGGAGCCTCGATTGCTCCTGCAGACAAGCGCGCCAGCGATCTCACGGCCGCACTTGTTGCGGTGCTTCAGGTAAGTCCTACCAGTTAGTAGGGGTTTTTTTGCACCGCATTTTCGTTCTGAAGGGACGGATCGGGAACGGGTGTGCGCTGATTCCCAGATGTTGCGGTGGGATTGTGCCCGTTTGCTGAGCCCCCGATCCGTCCCTCTTCCGGGCCAAAACCTCCCGTGTGACCGGGGCCATAGTTTGCATTCAAACTTCCTACCAGTCATCTCAACAATCTCAGCATCACCAGTGGGCCTCATGTAGCCAATGCAGTGGGCCTCATGTAGCCAATGCAGTAGTAAGTAGAAATCATATCACAAGAGGGTAACTTCATTCACATCTCATTCCCCAAATTCCAGGAACTGAAAAAACCATGGAACTTTATGCACACTTACTGGGTTTTGATTTGTTTTTTTGAAAGAAGAAGAAAAAAGCAAAAGGCTACTGCAAACAGTTTCCATGTCCTGCAACTATGACTGTGTGCATAGGGCTATGATTCATCATCTGCCTCTGACTTGATTGATCAATGAAATTTAAATATATGTGCACATTACCAATACTTACACGCCTTTATGTGATACTGCAGGAATGATTAAAAAAACCACTTATAATTTAATAAAAAGCTACCACTCATCATTGGAAAGAAACTCCACCTCAGAATATTTCACATATTCTTTTAAAGCAGCATGTCAGCAGTCAGAACCAAAAATAGCTGCAAAAACCAAACATAAGTTTCAGTTCTACCAGCTGAGATTTCCCCTCACTTAAATTTCCCCCTCATCCTCTAGAGTTTCAGTTGATTTAGGGCACAATCCTGACACCATCCTGTAAATGCTTAGCATAGCAATCAAGTCTTTACACCAGCAAAATTGGACGTATGCTGACATCACACCAGTGTAAAGCCAGTAAATGCATGGGTACACTGGCAAAGAGGATCATAGCACCCAGGGGCAGAGCAAGGGTTAGCCAGCATTCTGAGCCCACGTACCATCCCAATGCCAGCAGAATGTTATGCCAGTGGGATGACTGGTATAAGCAAAACAAACAACCCCCCGCCCTCACCGGTCTCCCACCGTGCCTATGCAGGCATTGCACAGTTTAGGATACCAACTAAGTATGTACCAATAACAGCTCTCCTAAGAACCGTATAAGCCCCAGCAATGATGTTGCACATTATAGGATACATGGCATGGAACTGTGTCTCTGTGTCCTGATTATGCATACTGAAAATACACACAGAAGGGGGAGGGATGCTGGTGATGGAAATTCTAAAGAAAGGGCACTTTGCACAACCATCCACAGATGAGAACAAACACTGTCACAGTGTCTTACTAACGGTGCTCTGCTCAGAACTCTTATAACCAGAAACACAAGGACAATGTCACCACCCCACAGGTAAGCAATGGAGGAGGAATCCCCTACCTCCAATTCTGTTAGCTGCAAACCCCCTTCCTTGCAGTAAGTACCTACTGCATACTGGCTGAACAGCCCATCCTCCATCAATAACTGGTAGTAGTATCTCCCAACACAGGAGGTGCATCGTAAATATGCACAGTGAAGAAAGGGAACCTACCCCTGGAGATACACTGGGAGAACATCATTGTGATATCAGCATGATGTCATGCTAGTGTGAGCTTCCATTCAAGTGAGGGAAATAGGGAACACAACCACATATCTAGATGAAATCAGCTGCTTTTCTCCAACTGTTCATGAGCCATTTCCCCCTTTTGCCTTGCAGAGTCTCATGGAGTGGCCCATATGGAACTACTGCACAGAGCTCCAGTGCAAAACTCTGCAATGGATATATACATACTGGACTAATGAATACACTGTCTCCACCAACAGATAAGTCCTAAAGTATGGGAAACATCAAAGGGGGGGGGTGCAGGGAACCTAAGTGGTGCCATTATCTCAGTTCTGTAGCTCATACGATAGGCAGAGTGCTTGAGCCCACATGAGTCTTAAAGACACACGAGCCTTCCTCTATATAAGGAGAGTTGGTAACCTCTTTCATATGACTTTCATTCAGAATTCCATTCCTGATGATAGTCAATGAATGTCTGGATTGTTTCTCAGCTCTCTATTACGACTGTTTGATAAGACAGGGATATATGCCCGCCAGTGTTCCCTCTATGCTGAGTTAGTGTGAGCTAGCTCACGCATTTTTGTCTTAGCTCAGGAAGCGTGGCTCCAGAGCAAACTAATTTATGCAGCAGCCAAATTGCTCACTCACAACTTTAATGCCAGTAGCTAAAAAAGTAGAATTTTTGTTCACAAGACTCCACAGCTTAGAGGGATCATTGATGCCCGCCTCCTACATGTTACCAACCTAAGCTGTCCTTACATTGAGAAGTGCCAAAAGTGTCTTCCAATGTCTGCACAGTTGCGCATAAGCCAGGAATGCACTCTTGAGTGTTCACAATCCACCCCACCCCAGTCTGGAGGGTGATAAAGCATGCAGGCTACATGGCAGGGAGGGGAGATGGAGAGGAGGAACAGCAGCAAACGCGATCAGACGCCCGCCCTTGCCCCGCGGTTTCCGTAAACTAGTACCTCGGAGGTACTAGTTTTTTGCCGCGTGGTTTCGGCAGGAAGCCTCGTTTGAGCCACGGGAGTGCTACACTTCCCAGATGTGCCGGTGAGATCGCGCCTGGAAAACCCGCATGTCTTCCGTCTGACTCGCATGGCTAATGTTCCGTGTGACCGCAGCCCAAGTAGACAATATTGGCTTTGATAGACTGAGAGTCTATCAAGGCAGTTTCATGTGTTCATGACAGGACATCAGCAAGAGCAGCCCTCCCATAATGACTGGGCCTGATGGTGCAACATCTCAGATGTGCACAGGATTCCTTTGAGTCCTCTCTGGTAGATAAGCACAGGAATGAGATGGGGACCTCAGGCATGACATATATCTTTTGCTGCAGTCTTTCCTGCCCTGGGATATCTGGCTGGTTTCAACACCG